CAAACCTTGTTTGTGTAAATCTGTATGGAATGTTTGTGATTATAACAAGTACAGGTATACATGTTGGCGTTATAAAATAATAACTGTAACGTTAGCTGTACACGCATAACACTCAATAGTTGATAATATTATTATGGCAAAGATTGTCAAGTATTATAAATGTAAATAAAAAATATGTGCGATGATGAATAATAAATTGTTGTTGTCGCCAATGTTTTGATGTTTTCTTATACGTTATTGTTATTATTTGAATACAAATACAACGCGGCCTCTTAGCTCTTTGTGTGAAATTTAAACCGACTCAAATCTCATTTATATTTTTGTGCTCGGTTGAACATTTTTATTTGCCGTTAACTTTGTAAAAGCATTTTATTTATAAAAATATCCTCTTTTATTCGGCACAGAGTCTGTTTAATAACGATGAAACCTTTTTCAATATCCAAGTCTTTTATGCATATTCATACACTAACACACACACACTTAAAAATGTACGTTATATACAACTCGTCGGGTGTAGTAAACTTTCCAAACAATTAACCGAGCAAACTCTTGTACTGAAAATAGTGAAATTGTTGTTTACCGACGCCGTTTGACCTCTCGGGAATAGCGTCTTGGCTTTAAGAAGACGCGAAAATTAGGTATTCACGGTAAACGCCGCTACACAAGCATTGATGCGTTTTTAATTATCATCTTATTCCTCGTACATACCGTCGTCTTTATAACCTTATTTAAAAACAATTACCGAACCGTCGGGGATTTCCTTTTGTTAGAAAAACTTTGTTCAACGTTGCGGTATTGCCACTTGTTCAATTTTGTTGTTATGCGGTTCATGTATGTACGGATTAAGATAATAAAATTGGAAATTTATCGAACGTCTTCCATTAGATTTTCTATAGCTCACAATCATCTGTTGTGTAGTATATTTTGCAGGCTGCCGTGCAATAATTATTGTAAATAAAACGTATATAGTTTTTTTTTTATAACGCTCGTTTATAAAATATATTGGTTTTGTGCCGAAATGAACTGCCGTAATGGTGTGTGGGTTAGGTATCCGCCAGCAGTAATAACCGTCATTAAAACGGTAATGGATATTGAAAGGTTCACTGTAGCGTGTGTGTACCGATCCGTGTGTGTCAGCTTGTGTGTGTATTAAAACCGTTAATTACTTCATAACGGCGAAGCGGGATTCAATTAAATATATTCGCAGAGCCTTCGAAATATGCATTTAACACAAGTTTGTGTGTGTATGTGCAACACTACCGGCGCCCGAATTAATTGGCGGAACGAGGCATCTCGAGGTTTAACGCAAAAATACAATTATTACTATTGCTATGACGGCCGACAATAAGGTTAGGCTATTTACACTACTTGACTTGACTCTGTTTGTCATTTGCATAATAATATAGAGTAGGTAAGATCCGCTCCGTCACTGATCAATAACGGTGCCGTTTTGACGCCGTTTGATTTCCAACACCCTATTTTTTCTATTTCCCTCCGTCCCGAAAACCCCCGAATAGGTAAGTGTTTACTTACTTACTTACTTACTTGGCCACACTCACCCGTAGGTTTGTTCAACGGCACCGACCGACCGTACGTGTGTGACCGCGTGTAAAGCACGCCGGTCAATCGACCTCCTCTCTCTCCGGCCTCTTTGACGTTAATACTTCAGCTTTACCCACCCCTTTACCCCGGCGCATGTAAAATATAAGTTTGTCCGTACACGAGAGAGGACAGAAAATCGATTTGCGTGAGTGTGTGTAGCGCGTGCCAACTGTATAGTGTGCTGAACGAGGCAGCAGACTATCCGAGGGCGGTGGTCAGGGCAAAAGCAGCGATAGGGTGGAAGAATACGTGCGTTGCTGTTTTTTATGCGTACACTAAAAAAAAAACCGACCAGATAATCCGTTATAAACCTTTTATTTTTTTTATTTTTTACCAAGCGAGCCTGCGATTTCGTTTAAATTCCGCAGAGATAATAAAGTAGAAATTAAAAACCTAAAATTAGTAGCGATTTTAGTCGCTCCGTTTTGGCAGCAAAAATTTAAAAAAAAACATTTATCGTATCCTCTAAAACTTTATAGAACTTTAATTGATAAAATAACGTGGACGATTTGCATGGAAGATTTTAAAGAATTAAACTTGTATACAAAACCGAGGCGTGGGGAGGCGCTAGCAGGGAGATGATAGATACCCCTATGTCTGGTATTGACTACAGTAAACTAATGTAGCTTTTGATAGATTTCGTTTAAGCGGGGACTACTTATCTTAACAATATGATCGCGAGTCTCGTGTGCAATTATTTTTTCTGGCCAAAACAATTAGCGAGGGTTAGTCCATGTACCGCGGTTGCCGTGTGTGTGTGTTGACCGCCACAAACGCCGGTGGAGATGATAAAAGTGATGAATGGTTGTGGTGTCGTTTACCGTTGTTTCGCTCCAAAAGTCGCACTCATCATCTGCACTGGTCTTGACAGCTCTTCCAAACTCTCGTGAACTTTTTAAATCCCATTGTTTTTTACCGCAGTCATATACGGTAAACAACAACGGTTAAGGCGAACAGTCAGTACTGTCTTTGGACCACTCTTGTTGGAATCTAGTCCTAAATCGATCGGATCGGTTAGGTTAGGTTAATATTGTAATTATTTATTCACATACCGCCCGTAATAGATGTTGTTCCACGACGGTTTGAAAATAACTTAAGTATTTCAGGTAAAGCGACTGTGTAGTAACGGCCGTTATTTATCTGTACTACACGGTTTTATTTACCTCTTTGAAGGCGACCTAATGTGTGTGTGTGTCTGGTCGCATAAATTAGATCCGTCGGACGATTTGTCGTCGGGGTGATACTTGTATAATATGTGTGTAATTACATCTCTGGCGGAGATAACATATGAACCTAACCGAGCACATTCGGTCGTTAAAACGTTTATCTCGCACGAATAGGTCGAATTATATCGGCGAATTGGTTCCGATCCAATAATCGAATTAGCATTGTGAGAAATGTAAATGTTTGTGTGTGTGTGTATCCGGATGGGATGGCTAAAAAACCGTTGTAGAGTTAGTTTCATTGTACAAGGAAGCGACGGACTGAGGTCATTCGCCACAAGACGTTCTACAATATTATATCAGACACATTGTGTGTGTGTCGATTCGTTTAATCTGCCACGTTCAAGAAGCGTATGGAGGAGGAAACCCTTTAGACACAGCAGCAGCAGCAGCAGGTACACGCTGTTTTTTTCCGTTCGATTTAGCCGACCTCATGAATTTAAATTGTATTTTTCCCTCGGACGTTTTTACGGCTTCCCTCGAAAAAAAAAATACCAACCTAGTAATAACCGTCACGTTTAACACCACGTAATACATATAAACAAAAGGATATTGGGGTTTGACATATAATTACTTTGGTCAATGCCTTGTTAAAACAAAATATTGTGTCGTTCGTTGTCCAAATGAATTATTTCCTTGTAATTTAATTTTAAAACGACCAGCTTATTGTAAATGTATGTGTAGGAAAAACAATACAAGTACTCATTCAGTGTTTTCTATTTTTTATTTATTTTTCTATTTATTGGAGTCGCTTCTCTAATATGACTCCATTACTTATCATTACTGATGACTGTTATGTTCATAACACACTTATACACGGCGTATCTAGTGAATAAGTCCGAGACCGTGTTTCGCGTACTAGCTGTGGACAATCAGAGTATAAGTACATATTATATACAGTTGAAAACTATCTAATGGATATTTGATCGACTCAGAGTTTCCTGTTCGAGATAGCGTGTTGTCATAATAAAAGCAAGCTCGACGACGGGTTTGGAGAATATAGTTTAAAACAATACGGTATAGTCGCCGAGACGACCCGGATTTACAGAAAGTGATTATATATAGTAATATGGGTAGTATAAGAAAATAATATACAACAAAGTCGTTGAGCAGCTTTGCTCCGTTCTCGGTAAAACTTTACGCATTATCTGTTTTTCTTTTTTCAATATGTGTGCGTTATTTCTCGTTTAGTAAAGACATTAGACAAACACTTTCTTTATTACAAGTTAGTGGTAAAATAAAATGTTGGTAGGGGCAGCCTTAGGGATATTTCCTTCGCTAAACCGCACCCCACCTCTTTTTAACACTATTATAATGTGTTGTGTCAAACAACATCTGTGTACCTATTAGATATTAAATAAGCACCGTTTAATTGTGAGTCTACAACTATACAATTTCGCTTTGACTTTGAAGAGAAAATGAAATAATTATAATAAACTTAACTGGTAATACACGAATAACAAAAATATATTGTTTTTAATATGTTACATGAATAAATTACATTTTTTTTTTGGTAATTTAACCAGTTTTATGGTTTTACTTTTGCTATTCCTTGTTCGTTATCGATTAGTCAGAACTTTTGTCAGTACTCGATTGGAAAGCACCGCTGGTATTAGGGGGGGGGGGAGGGGCTTGCATGAGGTCTGTTTATAAGGAGTTTTGTATAGGCAATATTTAAGAAAAAAATAGGTTTTAATAAATTTCGACCGCGTCAATTGATTTACCGTTTATTTTGTATAAGCTTCGAGGTATTATTTTCGGTTTAAATCATTTTTTCTACTAGTAAATAAGCTATGTTGGTTTATTTTAGACCAAAAAGCCAGACAAAATGTCGACTACGTAGGATGATCCTAAAACAATTCTGTAAAATGATAAGAGTTCTGTGGCGACTACTAATTGTACTAATCTTGTAATTAATAAATTCAATTTACAATATTTTCATTATTAAAACCCCAATTTCTTTTACATAAAATAATCAAAAAATAAAAATGTTCTTAACAGAATTTCAACCTGGGACCATCCTAAGTAGTTGAAATTTTTGTCTGGCTTTTGGTCTAAAAAAACAGACCCCATGCAATCCCCTTAACTTGTAATGTGATCACCTTTTTAACATTATTTTAACCCGTTTTTGTCGTCGATAAAATAAAAATATTATTGTGATTTATCGTTTTGCAGGCCTTAACACAACCTCCGTCGGCGTCCGCACCGCCGCAGCAACAACCGGCCGCGCCGCGTCCGTCGTACGCGCCGCTCACCGCGTTATCCAGCATGCAACCGCCCGGAACGCCGGGTGGCGAACTGCATCCGCACCAGAGGCGTCACCATCACCATCACCATCACGGCGGTGCACCGTACAGCAGTGCGTTTTCCGCGCCGCCGCCACCGCCACCTCAGCCGCCGACAGGCCCGCCGCAGGCCAACGGGTCCTCTTCGGACGCGTCGTCCACCGACAAGCACGAACCGGCGCCTCCACCACCGCCTCCGCCGCCCCTCCCTTACGCTCACGGTGAGTACCATTAATTATTACCATTGTCAACACTAATTTTGTTGCTATTATAAACGGGTTTAGGCTCACGATCATGATAATATAATATATAATTAACAATACACCAGATATAATTATACTTACATACTTATATACTTGTAAGTAAACATATATCTACAAGGATAATAAATCTATGTACCTATATTATGTTTGCGGTTTAGCGTAGTAGTGCCGAATAATGTTTGTGCAGTACAAACAACAACTCTACCACTCCGCCCATTTCTTCTAATATATATTTCTCCCAACAAACGATTAAACATTAAACGCAATTTCACGTGTAGGTGGTTTGTGTGAAATATACAACTGAGTGTGTTACATTTAAATTTGTGATGTGTTCGAAATTCTAATGTACAATTTCAATGTGGCATAAATAGCACTGAGATCGCGTGCAAACGGATTTATTTGAAGTAAAATATCTATTACCAAACCAAATGCAAACGACACTAAAGCGTTAAGGTCGGTTTTTTTGGTCTAAATGCCTGACAAAATTCGATTACTTAGGATGGTCCGATTTCTATTTGGCAACTTTACTAGGTTGTGTAAAAAACAGATTTTTTGCTTTTTTTGAATGTTGAAAAAATTGAAAATTTAATTTATTCAATTACAATGAACTGAAATTTTTAAATAAAATTTGACTAGCATAGTAAATTAGCCAAAGAACTTGAATCTCTTTACAGAATTTAATTTGGACCATCTTATGTGGTCGAAATTTTGTCTGATTTTTCGGTCTAAAATAAACTAAAATGGCTTTTATTCATAGAAAACATTAATTAAATCGAAAATAATACCTTTAAGCTTATACAAATTAATCGGTAAATTAATTGGCATGGACGAAAGATGTTTTATAAAAACCCTCTTTTTTTTTTTAAATATTGCCGTTATAAAACTCCTTAAAAACAGACCTCATGCAATCCCTTTAACATTATAATAAAACTAATCGATAGGATTCTATAAAATTAATTTCCAATAGATTTCTAGATAAGAACATAACAATTGTTTTTAAGAATCAACGTTTCGCTATTTTTCAGTTTTTTACCGCGTATGTGTACGTTTTTATTTACTACATTGTCTGCTGCTATATGTGATAGTTAAATTCTTAAAACTCTTTTACATATTATATTTTTAACGTATATACGGTCTAGAGTTATATTGGAAAACGTGTAGCGACCGGTATTGTGTATTTTACAACAAATCAAACGCACTAAAGTTAAACGTCAAGTTTTCCATTTGTGTGTTATACAAGCGTCTTAATAGAATAAATTGTTCGTTCCGGGAACCGAGGTCGGTGCAATTAACGTTTATAATGTGACCTGAGCGGGCGGTTAAAAGCTATTAAGGCGGGGATTGACGTGGAAAAGCTAAAAGGAAATTTAACACCGACGGGGGAGGTGATCGAAAAAGGTTTTCGATGGAAATAAGGAGACGGGCGCGAATGTAATGCATGTATATTATATTAAATCTGGGTTCACTCTTTATGTTAAATAATAAAAAGCGCCGTTGATTAAAAATCCGGCTAATATTGCGCCGATGAATAATGCAAACTGCTATTCCTGGAAGTATTTACTCTTATAATCGTTTATAAACATATAAAAAATATGTATATAAATGTTGTATAGGGTTATTGTCGTCGTTCCGAAACCGATGAAAAATTCAACACAAACAGCAATCCCTTTTGAATAATTGAATAATACTGTTTTTCGTTTTAAGCGTTAATTACGTTTTGCCCATAACTCGAAGCAGCAGCAGCCCAACCCTTAGTGTTTTCTACCCTTTGTCGTTCTGACGGGGCCGTGTCGAAGAGTAATGGTTGGTGGTAGTCTTAGGCTCCATTATTTATTTACTTTTTTTTTCCAGTCAAATTCATTTTTAAATCATTCACTCGCTTTTGACCGAAGAAGAACCTCGCGCTCGTTGAACAATGTATTGGCGCAGATTTTGTCAATGTTAAACTTTCAAATCTTCATCGAGGGTTTCCTACAATAAAAAAAAAAAACCATCAATTAATAAATTAAGTCCTTTACGTTGGGTTCACGTTTCCACTTAAGGTCTGTCAAGTGTAAATGACCGATCGGCCACGGAGACTGATGGATTTTTCTCCCCATTTGGAGAATTATATTTGTTTGTCAGTGTTCCCCAATTGGGTGCACTCATTTCTCCAATGTCTTATGGTGTATAAGTGCACTGTATAAGTGGCCCCGGACACTGATAAAAACTAACACGTTGAAGTTAATTCTCTATTATCTGTTATTAGAATAGTTATCACACAAAAACGTGGCGGCCAAGTTCTAAACCGGCTAAATTCATAATACATTTTATCTATATATTACTAGTTTACGGCCGCCACGTTTTTGTTTACTTTGAAACTGAATAATTTATTTATAAAAGGGTATTAAGTCACAATTTGAATGAAAATTTTTTTTTTTTTAAACATGTTCTGTGGCTGTAGACGGAACGTTTACTTTTGAAAGGAGTTAAGTCACTCATTTGTTTATGAAAAGGGTTGAATTCGTTCAATTAAAACTCCTATAGTTGGTTAGAAAATAAATTTGAAAAAAATGGTAGTCACAAATTTAAATAAGTACAGTGCGTAAGAATTAATCAGTTTTTTCAAGTAAAATAGTATATGCCTTATGTGCTATCCTTTCTGATTTCATTTATTCTGCGGTATAATCAAATAGGTACTATAAGTATGATAATACCTGGGAAAGCTAGGTCTTTTTTTAGGGGATCACTTTTCCCCTCCAACATCAGTGTAGCCATATATTGTGATACATAATATACCTATACCTACTTATGATAATATTTTATATTTCATAAGCCTATATTATAAAATTTCAATTATCAGTGCAGACATCGTTTTGGAATAATGCTATATATAAATGCCTTGATTTTGGAAACACTGTTGTTGGGGGCAAAATTCTGAGTCAATCAACAAATAAACATATTGACTTACCAATATTATCATTTATAGTATTATTATAAATTGCACCTACTCTGAATGTATATATTATGATGTGTATTACAAAATATAATTATTGCGATGACGGGGGCGAATTCTCCACGTTCGACTTATTAACGTTGTTGTCGTTGATATTATTATTGTTATTTTGGCAACTGTGCACTAACGGTGTAAATAAAAAATGCACGTGCACCGCCACCGGTGAAAGTCGCCGCAAACCGATTATGTGTGTACACTGTGTGTGTGTGTGTGTGTGTGTGTGTGTGTGTGTGTGTGTAACTATGTATGTTTAAACGGAAATAATGTTGGATGGTTATTTTTTTAAAAATTGTATTTATATATATATTTTTTTTTTGGTAACCACTGAACTCACAGCTCGTCGTCGGATACACATTAATCAAAACGTCGTTCCTCCCCTCTTTCGAACGGCAGCTCTGAGCAGCTCACCAGAATAACTTTGTAACCTCGTGAAAATCGTTGAGCCAAAAATGCGCTCTCGGCCGCCAACGAGCCGCCCGCCGTCGACAAAACTTACAGAAAAAAATCGATCTTATGTGCACATAAAAAACAGCTTTGGCACAAACTAAACGATTGGCGGGACCGACGATAACATAATAATAATATGTATATATATGTGTACAGACTCCTCGTTCAGATTGAATAATATTGTCGCCGCGATTGGAGGGTGGGTGTATGTATGTATATAGAAAGACGCTGTGGCTTGTATACTGACATAATAATATTTCGAATCCAACAATGCGTTTGTAAAAAATAATCAGTACCGAAAAACGTTAACCGATTTAATAATAATGTTATCGAAGAAAACCGCCCTTCTTCCTTATCCCTTCCTTCTTTCTTATTTGGAGATTAATGTAAAAAGACATTTCCATAAAATATAGCGCGGGTGTGTTTTGTCGATATTTACTTGTTGACAACGAAATGTATATTATTTGATCATCGGTAAACACTTGTTACTCAGCCGTTTGTCGCCGGATTGAAGTGTGTAAATTGTTGGCATTGCTTCTTCGCGGTCGGCCGTTTATTGTTGGCCGAGTATTTTTCCTTTAGGTCTAAATTAGGCGGCGTAATTGCTTGTTTTAACGCTGGACTCTCCAATAACTGTTGACCGAGCTAGAGTAACAATTTAAGTTTAGTTGTAGTATATTTATGTAAAAATAGAGAATAATAACTAGTATGATTTTTATAAATGAATTGAACACCGACTAAATTTGCCGTTCAACCGTGTTTATTTCAATTACCAAAGTTGTTCTTTAGTTGCCATCGTTAAACGGGCGAGGAGGATATTATAGCGATTGCTGCGCGACATCAAACTTGCTAAGAAAGTTTTGGTCGTGCACAAACTCTAATTGGCGTTTATAAATCATATCTTATGTGTAATTGTCGTCGCCGGTTAAGTAGCGCAAACAACGTGTTGAAGCTTCATAAAGTCGGCAAACGAAACGTGTGTGTCAGATTGTGAGTAATTACGAAAGTTGACAGGTTTTTCAAAAACCGTTCAACGTCCGAGTTGTGTTTAACAGCAATTAACGGCTGAGGCAAATTTGGTTCTTTGACAAACGTGCCCATCAAAATCGCTATATCATAATATAAATAATCGTACACTATTCACTAAATTATTATTTACTTAAGCTAATTATAAAAAAAAACTATTGTTGCTTTGAATATTTGCTGTAGAAAGAAAGAAAAAAAAATAGTTTTTTATTAAGTTTATTATTTTTTTTTTTTGGTATACCTAGTCTAAAACCGTAATGCGTATAATTAAGTTTTACTTTCCTGTTGTGGGATTTTTTTTTCATTTTTCGAGGGGAAACTTTATAAAACTTTTATTATCTCAACGGTTAACTTGACGGGACTTCCGTATCTGTAAAAAAAAAGTAATTGTAATTAATTTGTGCTTTCACGACTTGGACGAACCGAATAATAATTTTGCACCGACCAAATTAAATTCGCGTTTGAAAAATAGCTACAATTTTACTACCAT